ATGGCTCACGGGCCCAGCCGCTCTGCGGCATGTGCGATCTTCCTGGACCGGGGCATGAACCCACGTCCCCTGCATCGGCAGGCAGACTCTCAACCACTGCGCCACCAGGGAAGCCCCTCAATATATTTTTTAATAGGGGAAAGAATGACCCACACCTGATCCCATACGCTGTCAGCCTTTATATTTTAACTTTATCATAATGCAGTAAGAAAAATTAGAAAGCTCTTTACTGAATTATAAATAAATTATTAAAGTGTGTTTGTGCTGGACGACAAAAAATCAAGTGCAGTTGAGTTTTGAATATTAAAATAAGAAGGGGGAAAAGTCATGCTGTAAATGACATTTTGCTTAAATCACCTTCCTCTTTCTGCAGTATACAAGGGCCCCTTCCCTATATTTCAAGCTTTGCATAAAAGAAGAGCTGTATTAGATCAGGGGCAAGCATCCATCCCCGCTTCATCCTTCTGAGTAGATCCTCAAATTTTGTTCAATTGTCTACCCAATCCACAAGTAAACCTCAGTCAGTCGGTGCCAATGCGTGTTTGCCCTTTCCCTGGTCCACAATTGCACATGTAACTTAAATTTGCTTAATTCAAGCCCAGGGAAGGACTTAAGAGTTGGGGAGGAGATTTTCCTTCTGCCACAGGATGTGTATAGGGGAATAGGCTGCCTCTTTGCTGCTGGCAGCCACCTTACCACCATGAGGGGAGGCAGCAGAATGGAAAGATAGGTGCTCCAAGACATGGCTGAGCCTAACCTTAGAGCCTACCTAACCCTGAACTTGTTAGGGGAGACATTTTCTCATTGTCTTAGCTGGGGTTTCTATTGCAGAAAATACAAAATTTTTCAAGAAATTTTGCCTCAATTTTTTTTTCTTTTTTTTTTTTTTTTTTTTTTGTGGTGAAGCAAGGTACAGCGTTTATTTGCAGGACACAAAGCAAGGAGAATGGGCAACATATGCTCAAAAGACCTGAACTCCCTGATGCTTTGGAGCAAGGGTTTGTTTAAGGCAGCATTAGGAGCGAGGGTCACAGGTCATCAGCTCATGGACATTCTCCTGGTTGGTTGGTGGTGAGGTAACAGGGTGATGTTTTGGAAATCTTAATCATCAGTCTTCTGGTTCCAACCAGTCTGGGGTCTACATGCTTGTGGTTAGCATGTAGTCAACATCCTCCACTGGATGGGGGTCTTAGTTTCTTAGTTTATGTCTGAAGCAAGTTCCTGAAGCAACACCCCCTTGTGTACTGCGGACAGCAGGCAGGACATGGTGGCAGTCTTCCCGCCTCAATTTTTTGGTGGCCTGCTTTGCTCGTGTAGTTAGCACAAGCCTGGTTCATCTGTTGAGCAACCCAGCACTGCCTGCTGCTGCATGGGTGGCAGATTGAAGAGGGGCAAGAATGAATAAACAGGGCAGAAAAGAAACTTTGTTAACAAGAGATGATGGTAGCTTGGGATGTAGCAATAAAGGTATGGACAAGTGGAAAAACTAAAGAGAGATTTATGAGAAAAGTGTATGATTCTGTGGTCTTTAATACATTCACAGAGTAATACAATCATCATGACTAATTTTTTTTTTTTAACATTTTCATCACTCCAAAAAGAAAACCCCACACCCATTAGCAGTCCTTCCTCCTTCCTTCTCACCTCTGACCACCACTAATCAACTTGCAGTCTCTGTGGATTTGCCTGTTCTAGACATTTTATGTAAATGGAATCACGTAATATGTGGTCTTCTGTGACTGGCTTCTTTCACTTAGCATAATGTTTTCAAGGTTCATGTAAGTAATAGCACGTATCAGTACTTCATTCCTTTTGATGGCTGAATAATATTCCAGTATATGGGTATACCTTATTTTGTTTATCTGTTCATCAGTTGATGGACATTTGGGTTGCTTCTAGTTTTTTGTTTTGTTTTTTTTTTGCTATTATGAATAATGCTGATATGAATATTTATGCACAAGTTTTTTTGTGTGACAAGTTTTTATTTCTCTTATACATACCTGGGAGTGGAGAAGAATTGCTGGTAACTCTATGTTTAACTTTTTGAGGAACTACCAAACTGTATTCCAAAGTGGTTGCACCATTTTACCTTCCCACCAGCAATGAATGAGGATTCCAATTTTTCCACATCCTCACTAACACTTGTTAATATTTGTCTGTTTTATTTTAGCCATCCTAGTGGGTGTGAAGTAGTGGTATCTTATGGTTTTGATTTGCATTTCTTTGATGACTAATGATGTTTGGGGCACAGATCATGGCTTGCATGCAAAAAGTATTTTAGTAATTGAAAAAAGTATTTTCAATATTATAGAGTGGTTTGTTTTTGTTTTGGTTTATTTGGTTTTTTTGGCCGGGCCACATGACATGTGGGATCTTAGTTCTGCAAACAGGGATTGAACCCTAGCCCCTAGCATTGGAAGTGTGGAGTCTTAACCACCAGACCACCAGGGAAGTCCCATTATAAAATATTTTGATAAAATATACATCCAATAATTTAACAGATAATAATAACTGCATTGAACAGTACTAATTGAGCCATCAGGTAATGAATTAAAGTAATTTTACAGAGAAACACGGGTTTTATCCCTCAGAAAGAAGCTTATACTCGAATTGGGAGGTATAATGAAGCTTATACTCGAATTGGGAGGTATAATGAAAATAACACCTATATATGCACATTTATTAAGCCTCAAATCAAAACACTAATTAACTTGTGGTCCATGGATTATATGCAAACTGTGGGTTTTTTCCTAAAAAGATGGTCACGGTCCATAACTTCTGTGAATTTCTTAAAGAATTCTAACCACTACCACCCCCGCAAAAGCTAAGAATGACTGCTCTAAAATTTTCATTGGGGAAAAAATGACTAATGCATTCTTAATGTCTGCTTCCATTAACATTTCTTTCTCAATGTTAGTTACTGGTTAAGTTATGCATTTTGCTTTGGTTACCATTTTTTTCTAGTCAAGGCTTTCTGGGTCACAAGATAAAGATATCACTTCACACTAGTTTAAGGGAAAAAGACTTTATGGAAGGCTCTCGATGTGGCTAATGGAATCCAAGGGCATCCAGCCTGGCTGGGACCAACAGAGGACTGGCCCAGGAAGCCGGCAGCCAGCTTCCCTCGCTCGAGTTCTCTCAAATTATCCGCTCTGCTGATCTCTCAGCGAAGCAACCACCACTGCTCATGCGTGCCCCTGACCCGGCGTGCCTGCCCTCACTCCCTAGTTTCCGCGTCCTCCGTTCACTGCCCTGCAGGAATGACTAAATAGTGCCTCACAGCCCCAATTCAAAACTCTCAGGATTGAGACTCTTGTTAGTCCCACTGCTAATCCCATCAGCTCTAGCCAGGAAGGCAGCATCCTGTGGAGCAAGTGTGATGCTGCCCCTGGAAAGGGGAGCAGAGGCGGAGAGATACCCCATCTGTGTCTCCCGCTCCACTCAACTGAACATGAACTTGCTTGTCCGTATGCCTGAACTTCAGGAACTTTTCATTTGTATGAGTCGCTAGAATCTGAAATGAAATACTCTCATTTCCTATGGACATGATAATTAAGAGAGAAAACTTATTGATCTTTTAGATCAAAATCTCCATTATGTTATCTTTATTGCAAACCAAGCCTTGAGGGATTTGTGTCACTTCCCATGTTACAGTTTCAGATCCTGGCCACCATCACCACCACTGCCACCCACACCCGCACACTCACTAGCTAAAAAGACAGATGCCTCCTTGAATATTAGCTTAAAAGTTGTCACGGTTGGCCTGTTGATTGATATCAACCATCTGAAGAGGTGAATCCCAACCTGCAGTGTTGCATATATATTTTATTTCACAAACTCTCTCCTGTTTCCAAGAGTGCTGTGAGATTTGTATGTTTTTTTTTTAATGAATTTAAATGAATATTGCTTTGAGAATTAAGTTTGACCATTTTCCAGTACCCAGTAGGCTAATAATGGACGTGGAAGCCCCCATGGGGAATCTGTTCAATTGGACGAACGCAGGATACCCACCCCGTTATCCACCATTCACAGTAGTGGTGGCTGCCGACACTCCCTTCAGCTTCTGATTCCAGCCAGAGTCTTGCTGTCATGGACTTCACAGGAGGGTCATCATCCCCCCCGATTAGTGAGGAAGTCTGGAAACCATCAGCTTGTTACCTGAAAACTGGATTTGCCTCTTTTTGGGCATCGAGCCAAAAGACACAACCAAGCCACAGATCCAGAGAAGGAAGGGTTTATTATTACTTGCAGCAAGTAAGGGGAACACTGGGGATCTTTCCCAAAGCAGTGTCTCTCTGAACCACAAAATTGGGGAAGCTTTAAGCTAAGTGTACATGCATATTCATGAAGGGGCTCGAGCAGAGGAGAATTCAGCACAGAATTGGGGCAGAGGTCAACGGAGTCCAAGCTTTGGTTGATTCAAGTCAGGAGTGTCAGGTCATTCCTCCTCTACCTGCGGGGGAGCCTTCGTTCCTGCAGAACTCAAAGACATTATTATGTATATCCCTTGAGGAAGAACTAGGACTCTGCTTTATCGTTTCACTGTTGTTTGACTGCCTTTTCTCTGTTCCTATATTCCTTTGTTCCCTTAGCATCATTAATTACTGAGACATGTTCAAGGGCGAGCCTGTGGCCAGACTTAGATCCCAAAATGGCTCAGGCCAAAATGGCTAAAAAGGCTTCTTCTCACGTCAGGAAAGCCATTCCTGGTTCTCTTTCTCCCGGGATCCCCTAACCTATCTGCTTACAAGCTCATAGGTCCTCTACCTTGGCTGTTCGTCAGCCCCCCAGGCCAGACCTCATAGTCTCTGAAAAATTTAAAAGCTTTCCAGGTGACACACAGCCCCCAAGTTTGAAGACTGTTACATTTGATGGAATTTTCAGACAAAATCTGTGGCATAAATTGCAAACCAAGGGTAGGGTTGTTTTTTCTGTTTTGTTTTCCCATATTTCAGTTTCGTTATAAATATGTCTCATTCAGTACATAAAATTTTGGGGGAAAAAAACATTCACAACCTCAAAATAAGGAGAAAACCACTGGTACCATTTAATCGTATTTTCTACTAATGTTTCCTATCCATATATTTTATATAACTAAGGCCCCAGTGTAAATACACAAAGACTATTTGGTTTTATTTTGTACTACTTGGCACTGTAAGGAAGCATTTTCCAGGCAAGGCAGGCAGTATGGTTATCAGAAAATTAGAAGTAAAAATCCTCCCATCACTTTAAGGTCCATCCCTCCCACCCACCTTAGCCTCACTAGGTCAAAACAAGAACTCACCACAGTTAAAACACAAAAACAGGTAGTCAAGCCTTAACTGATTTTACCTCAGAGCCTACGGGATAAGGGCTCTTTTAATAACAAAGCTTCCATTTAGGGATACTGAACTGCCTTCCCCTTCAGAGTCTATGGGCCACTTGCTTCGATGTGCAGTTCCCTTTAAACCTTGCTTGTTAGGCACCTGGAAATTCCTGAGAAGATCTTTAAGTCAACAATACAGATTTCTGAGCCTTGACCAGAACTGACGTCCCCTCCCTGCCTCCCCGAAGCCTCTTCCAAAGGCAGTCTGCCTGGGGTGATAATGGGATCCCAGCCCCGGAGGGAGCGCCCATCCCGACTTACCACCACCCAAGTGCCAGAAGGGAGCTGCCAGCTGGAGGTGGCTTTTCCTGCCCTTGAGTGAAGGTGTTCGTTGACCCCCTCAGACTTCTGACAGCTCCCTCAAAAACTGCTTGCCAAGGGCAGGAGTCCTTGTCAATGGGCACCTGTCCTCTCTGGAAATCTGTAAATTCTCTTTGAATAGTTTATATTTCAATTAGGTTACTGTGCATAATTACGGAGGGTGACTCACGGAGAGATGAAACAGCTTAGAGAAATGATCACATCTATACTATATTTATATGCACACACGTAGACTGTCCATAAAGTACAAGTGTAAAGAGTATGTGTACGTGAAAACATACTATAAAGGAGAGCGAGCCAGACTTCATTCTAGATGACAATCACCCCACCTGTCCCTTATGATCCATGGGCAGGTGTGGAAATGACAGCCTCCCTCTGAAGCCCCACCAGACAGTACAGATCGTTTTCAACTTACAGTGGGGTTACCTCCTGATACACCTATCATAAGTTGAAAATACTGTAAGTTGGAAATGCATTTAATACACCTAACCTACAGAACGTCATAGCTTTGCCTAGCCTACATTAAACATGCTCAGAACACTTACGTTAGCTTACTGTTGGGCAAAATCATCTAACACAAAGCCTACTTTATAATAAAGTGTTGAATATCTCATGTCATTTATTGAATACTGTACTGAAAGCGGAAAACAGGATGGTTGTCTGGGTCCAGAATGACTGTCAGTGTATTGACTGTTTACCCTCATGATCGCAGGGCTGACCCGAAGCTGAGACTCGCTGCCACTGCCCAGTGTCACCGGAGAGCATGCCGCCAGCCCAGGAAAAGATTAAACTTCAAAATCGAAGTACGGTTTCTGCTCACTGCCTATCACTTTCACGCCATCCTAAAGTCGAAAAATTGTAAGTCAAACTAAGCTGGGGACCATATTCTGTACTTGGTAGCAGAGGAAAGGCCTTTGCCCCTGCAGAGCCCAAGTCAAGGCTTTCCAACTTTGCGTAAAATACCGCTGTCTTACAAAGTAAATGTGAGCAGAGTAGTTTAACAAGAATGGCTGTTGTCTTTCAGGTAAACCATAGATTCTTTAGAAGTTGAGACAAACTAAAGCCTTCACGATCAATCACTCTCTAAAAAAATCATTCCAAAAATGTACTTCATTCATCAGAATGCTGCCTTTTTCCAAAAGAAATTTGAAGTGGGTTAAGGTAAAGAATGTGTACACATTAAGATTAACAAAGTAGGGGGGCTTCCCTGGTGGCGCAGTGGTTGAGAATCTGCCTGCTAATGCAGGGGACACGGGTTCGAGCCCTGGTCTGGGAGGATCCCACATGCTGCAGAGCAACTAGGCCCGTAAGCCACAACTACTGAGCCTGCGCGTCTGGAGCCTGTGCTCCGCAACGAGAGAGGCCGCGATAAGTGAGAGGCCCGCGCGCCACGATGAAGAGTGGCCCCCGCTTGCCACAACTAGAGAAAGCCCTTGCACAGAAACAAAGACCCAACACAGCAAAAATTAATTAATTAATTAATACCCTGTCTTGAAAAACCTCACAGAGACCCACAGAGTTACCCTATTTTAAAAAAAAAAAAAAAAGATTAACAAAGTAGGGACTTCCCTGGTGGCACATTGGTTAAGAATCCGCCTGCCAATACAGGGGACACGGGTTCGAGCCCTGGTCCAGGAAGATCCCACATGCCATGGAGCAACTAAGCCCGTGCGCCACAACTACTGAGCCTGTGCTCTAGAGCCCACAAGCCACAACTACTGAGCCCGTGTACCACAACTACTGAAGCCCGCGTGCCTAGAGCCCGTGCTCCGCAACAGGAGAAGCCACCGCAATAAGACACCCACGTGCCACAACGAAGAGTAGCCCCCACTCGCCACAACTAGAGAAAGCCCGTGTGCAGCAATGAAGACCCAACGTAGCCAAAAAAAAAAAAAAAAGATTAACAAAGTAGACATGAACAGAGCAAGTGGGAAAATGAGGCGAAGCAGACATCCTAACCCCGAGAACTAGCTAACCACTGTGACTGCCGGTCAGACTTGGCTTCAAGAGCAAGTATACAAGGCAGTTAGCAGGAAACCTGGAACGTGATAAGGGCTAATAAGTCATAGACAGTATTATTATAATTCATAACCAGTATTACATTTCTCAAATACCCATTTTATTTCATCTCATGAAGTTGCAGCTACATTCATTTTTAAGGCTTTAAAATAATTTTGGAACAAGATGCCATTGCATTGGAATCTTCTGGTACAGTGCAGCACCAAGCTTGCTCTTCTAACTCAGGATCATCTGAGCCTTGCATTTCAGCAATTAAAAAAGAATGATTGGGAACTCCCTGGCAGTCCAGTGGTTGGAACTCCATGCTTCCCTGCAGGGAGCACGAGTTTGATCCTTGGCCGGGGAACTAAGATTCCACCAGCCAAGCAGCACGGCCAAAAAAAAAAAAAAAAAAGATTAAACTAGCAATGTCCTTTTCCCATACGTTTAGCTCTTCCATCTCTGACTGGAAAATTTGGAGGCAACAAGGTCCCCAGTATTTTGGTCTGCAAAACATCTCTGTGATTCTTGGTAGCCATGACAAATAAGAAAAAAGAGTAACTTCCATTGTTCCCATCACATATAATGGAAGGTTTCAACTATAATAAGACTCTCAAGAAATATTTCTAGTGCAGGTCAGAGAGACACAGAATCGAACCAAACAGGATTTTTCTGTTATCTGTCATCTGGATCTGAGATGCTGCCCTCAAGAACCAACTTGTATAGCCAACGGCCCTAGTGCAGTCCCTGCGAGTCTCCCAGAAATGCCTCATGTCGGGGTCTGGAGTGAGTGTCGCACTTTATACAGCAGACGGTGGCTGGCACCAGTGGCACCATTGCAGACATAAGGAAAACTAGTTGATTCCACCTGGGCACAAAGGCCAAGTCTCTCTTCATATGCCTCCTATAGCTCTTCCTTTTTGCCTTCTGCCAAATCCTTAGGTGAGTCCATCCTGTTTCACCTGAGATGATACCAGAAGGAGGTTTATAAAAGCATTACCTCTCCCCAGGTACCTAGCACAGTGCATGGTGCACACTCAGTAGGTAAATGAATGAGAACCAAACAACATCCAAACAAAAATGACCCTAATAGTTTCCAGTTCAGTCCAGAAAAACAAAACAACCCCACGGCATTTAAAGAAGAGAATGAGTTGTCGAATAAAATTGTCAAAATGAGACCCCCTAGATTTCACCACATAGGCAGCCTCCTGCCTCAGTCAGACCTACCTGATGCCCCTTCATCTCTATGATCATCCACCTCTCCTCATCTGATCAGAAACTGTCATCAGCTATTACTATTTAGCAATTCTGTCTTAATGAGATTAAGAAGATTGGGGGTGAGAGGAGGGACAGCAGATGGAATATATTCTATTTTCTGAATTGATAAGAAGAGAAAGGCAATGTAGACATGGTCAATTTCCATCATTAATCAAATTGAAAATACTAATTTCCTGAAAAGAAAATTTGTGGGTTCGATGTCTCTTTACTTTTTCTCAAAAAATCTGCATTTGGTCCCAACCCACCAAGGTGAATGTAATTTTCTTGGATTTATCTCAGGCGAAAAACTACCCTATCTCGCTTCGTTCACAGTTAAGAACCTCTAAAAGCTACCTCCTGTCTATTGGAATTTTTATTTAACCAAAGGAATAAGCATTAATACTAATATATGTGTTGTTTACACTGTGATTATGCAAAGCGGAGAAAGTAAAAGAACAATTTGATTTGTAGAGTCTTTACATCATTGTTAAATTCTCCAACCCTGTCCCATCACATCCCCACACTAAAAATCTTCAGAGGTGATTATCAAACTTCATACATGTATTTTAAAAAGTTTGTTTGCATTTATAGAACATGATTCCACCTGTGATGTGAGCCTAGATACACAAACCCTATTTCACTATTAGGATTTTTGTTTGTTTCTTTAAGTAAAATTTCCAGCTGACACATGGTAGATGTTAGAGGTGCTTAACCATGAGGGCAGCAGCTGGCGGCCAGGATTAGAACGCGCCACGCTGGTCTTCAGAGAGCGAGGGGAGAGCCTTTTTCCCCTGACTGCTGAGCGGCAGGACCTCCATCAATCAGCCCAACACCCAATCTCTCAGCTTACAATCGACAGATTCTTAAGAAGTTTTTTCTTGCTTTTCTCCTGGAATGTTCCTACCCCAAGATCAAAGCCACGCTCAGAAATATCGCTACATGCTATCTACGCTGATTTTTTTTTTTTTTTTCAGTGCAAAGCAAGGAAGAGTGGCGTTGGCCCAGTAGTCCAGAAGCTCTTATCCAAGAGATGAGTGAAGGGAGGTTCTAAGACCCTCCTTGTTTTACCTCTGATCCCAGAGGCTTGAACCCCCAAAGGTCAAGATGGTGGCCTCCCTTAGAGCCGTGAAGGATGGGCCCGGAGCAAACTAAGCTGGGCCTGGATGCAGAGAAGTTAGTACACGGGTCAGGGCACGACAGTCCAGGTTGCTAGGGCTGACACCCCGTCCCCCGCCCTCCTCCCCACCCCGCCCACCCCATTCCCCTTGCTCCCGCTCTGCCAGCCTCCCCTCACTGGTTTCACTGGTTTTACTTGCCCTTTAGCCAGCCCAGTCCGTCCCACAGCAGACTCCCAGCCTCTGCCCTCTCCTCGTCCTCTTCATACCTGTTTCCACTGGCACCTCCTCCTCGACTGCTCTGTCCGGGGCCCTCCGTGAGTCATCTCACCCATGCCCCTGGCTTCAGCTGCCTCCAGTCTGCTAATTGTGGCCCGGATTTCCAACCTGGCTATCACCTGATATCCAAGCTCCGGCCGTCTTCTAGAGAGCACCACCCGATGGCCTCCTAGCCCTGCATTCAACGTGTGCTTCCACCTGACCAGCCTCCCAGAGGTGCCTCACGTGGGGGGTCTGGAGTGAGTCCCGCTTGATTCCGTCCCAGTTTATACAGCGGCTGCCACCAGTGGCACTATTGCAGACGTTAGGAAAACTAGCAGATTCCATCTGGGCACGAAGAGCAAGCCTCTCTTCATGTGCCTCCTGTAGGTCCTGCTTATACCTTCTGCCAAATCCCCGGCAGCTGCATCCTTAGAGGCACCTGAGATGATACCAGTTTATGAAGCATTACCTCTTCTCAGGTATCCAAGTGCATGGCTTCAAGGACCTGTTCTCCCAAACTAGCAAACTTTCTGTCATGCGTTATTCCTTCCTACACAGTCACCAGCCAGCTCAGCTCAATCCTACATCCTAAGTATCTCGAGACACTGTCCCTTTCTCTCCGTCCCACCCACCGCCTGAAGCAGGCTTCATCACCTTCATCCTGTAACGGCTTCCAGATTGCTTTTCATCACTCCCCCGTCTCTAGTTATCTTCCCAAAACACAGAATCCACCACGCCTCCACATGTTCGATGACTTCCAGTCTCCAGCCACACCCCGTGTCTCCTGCCCCAGCACCCCACCCCCCTGCATGCCGTCAGTCACACTGTCTCCTCAGCTCGGAATGCTCTTGTCTCTGCCTGTCAAACACCCACTCACCGTTGAAAAACCCAGTTCATCACAAGCACCCCCAGTCCCTTGGGCAGAGTCAACAGCTCCATGGGCCCGTGGACCTACCTCCTGGAGCTCAGGGCTGTTCCCTTCCTCACTAACTACCTACCCGACTCCCAAGTGCGGTGCTTCAATGGCCAGGTGCTCAAAAATGCCCGCTGCCTTTGATTCCACCAGAAAAAGAAAGCTGGAGTCACAGATCGGTTTCCTAACAGTCTCATTACATTGTCATTCTCTCCTGTCCTCACAACAGATACTGTTTACGTGAGAATCTAATCTGCTGGGTATTTATTGAAGAGATTTCTAGAAGCAAAGAACAAGCTCTTATGAGGAAACTCTCACCATGGAAGCCTGTTCGGGAGGTAACAGACACCAGCCGTCCCCCGGGAGGGGTCAGTCTTTACCTGGATAACCCGGAGCATGGCAGGGGAGGGCAATGAAAGGAGGAAGAAGGAAAATTTGTTTCCATTAAAAGGTACCGGTGCTGTAAAAACTCCCAGGGTTAGAACCCCTATCCCCGTAACAGCATAAGAACTCCTCTTATGTGTCTAGGTGTACAATTCTATTAGACCGATAGAGAAGTAATGGACTTAATAAACTGCAAAGAGCAAATGACACTACGTGATGATCAGATAAGGACTCTGGGGGTGGGCAGGCTGGGCTGACTCTGCTCTGCCCCCTCTCTGATCGGTCTCTCCGCCTCCCCGACTGCCGGCTTCCCCACTGTTTAAGGGGAGCCTGGCAGAGGCTGGATCACGGAAGGCCATGGAAGGCTGGGGAAGGGCTGGAGCGGGCAGAGAGGCCAGTGAGGAAGAGACGGAAATGTCATTTGGCTTGTGGGACAGCAGGATAATGTGGCACCTTCTCTCCATCGCTTTCTCCCCTGCTGGAATCTGGGCTCTGGTTGCCTCTCTCCTGGACTGCTTTCCCTGGTGACTAAGCTCAGTGTCCCACCGCCACCTGTGCTCGCCATCACTCTGGTCGCCAGGCTGCCACCAGAGCAGTGTCTCCAAGGGGCTAATGTAACCTTGTCTCTCCCTTGCTTCCCAGGGCCCTCTGCTATTACAGGATTAACCCACGTGCTTCCCAGTCATAATCCCTGCCCCTCTTCACCTCCCAACCCTGTTGATGGGTCTCGGCAAGTCAACTGTTGCCTCTGTGTACTGACTGGCTCTGTCCTTCTCTTTGCTTGGAATCTCCTTTTCAAGATTTAGGTCATGTGTCTTGTCTTCAAGGAAGATGTATATACACTGTTGACCTAAAACAAATAGAGTGCCAGATATTTCTCCAACAAAGATGGGTTTATTTGGGATCAGCAAAGAATTGTGGAGGGGAGCAAGACGCCACCCCAAAATGCCTCTTTGTCAGGCAGATTATTTCAAGCTGAGAACAGTCAAGGGCCCCAAAGCTCAGAACCTTTGACCTTCTCCCTAACTGCCTAAAGGAGTTTGCATAGCGGGCCTGTTCCCGGAACAGAGCTGTCACCAGAGACATCAGCAGAGAGTATGGGCTCGAGTGGTGGGGGAAATGCCTAGAGACCCGAGTCCACGCTGGGTCCCACTGTCTCTGCAGGCCCAGCAAACATTTATTTACTAAACATTTGCTTTTCCATCTCCATGTGCATTGCCTTCCTCCCCTTTGAAGTCCCAAACCACTACCCCTAACATCCTTTTTTGGCTTTAGCTGAAGATGGTACTTAAGGTGAGGGCTTGGGTCATTTTCATGAGTTACTCAGTTTTCCTGGGTCTCTCCCATGTATACATGTTACTGGACTTCTGTTTGATTTTCTCTTGTTAATCTGTCTCATGTGCATTTAATTCTTAGCCAGAAGAACCTAGAGGGGCAGAGGAAAATTTCTTACTCCCCAGCAATTGCAGTTTGGGGTCTGCAGCCATGGTGAGCCAGGGGCAAGGGAAGGAGATTGCTTTTATGGGGCAGGGAGGAGAGAAGTTGGGGAGCTACAGTAAACAAAGAGTCTATGGCTTTTCATTGGCTGAGTGCTAACCAGGAAAGGAGTCTTTCTTCTTCCTGGTGGGCTCTGCTGTCATCACAGACCCTGAGATCTCCCCTTTCTGGTCTCCCAACTCCATTTAAAATAAATTGAGGGGGACTTCCCTGGCGGTTCAGTGGTTAAGACTCCAAGCTTCCACTGCAGGGGGCACGGGTTAGCTCCCTGGTCCGGGAACTATGATCCCACATGGCACACAGTGCCGCCAAAAAAAAGGAAATAAAAGAAATTGAGGTTTCTGTTTATTAATTTTTACAACATCGACACACACAGACACACTCAGACACACATATAGACACTCTCAGACACACATATAGACACACACAGAGACATACACACACAGCCCATACTGCACCATACTGTAAGACTGGGCTAAATCCCTTCCCCGGGCTCTCCTAGCACCCAACCTCTGTCACTGAACTGACCAGCTTTTACTGACAAATCTGTCCTCCTATCTCGATGATAAACCCTTCCGGGTCAAAGACCATGTCCTTCGCAACTTTAGCACCCTGCTTTCCCCACGCTCTATCTGGTTCAGAGTGGGCCGTCAATAAAGCTTTGCTAACTGAACCCAACCATAATTCAAGGCAGGCTGGAGGGACTGGGAAACGGAATGGCTTCCAGGGTGACCGAATGTAAAATTGATTCCCCTCTCCGAATCCCTGGGCAGACTGCAACCTTTCACAGCAATGGACAGTATCACATACCCTCACCCTTCAAGTCTTATCCTTGCCCCTTAAAGCACACATAAAAATTGGACTCCTTGGGCTTCCCTGGTGGCGCAGTGGTTGAGAGTCCGCCTACCGTTGCAGGGGACACGGGTTCGTGCCCCAGTCCGGGAAGATCCCACGTGCCGCGGAGCGGCTGGGCCTGTGGGCCGTGGCCGCTGAGCCTGCGCGTCCGGAGCCTGTGCTCCGCGACGGGAGAGGCCGCAGCAGTGAGAGGCCCACGTGCCGGAAAAAAAAAAAAAAAAAAAAAAAAAATTGGACTCCTAAAACTCAGCCACTCGCTGTTGAATTCAAGGCCTTTCCCCAATTTGAGATATTCCACAGAAGAAATCGAGCCATTTCTAGGTAGCCGAAAGGAAACAGAAAAGAGACTGACTTAAAGCTTCATTCAGCTCTCACGTCGTTTCCTATTCATCTCCTACATTAAAACCTTTTGAACGCGGAAGCTACATCTGATTACTCTTCCTGTTTCCCACAGCTCCTAGCAGGATGCTTTGGATATGAAGGGCAAAGCACTGGAGGAGAAGACAGGATAGGATGGACGTGGGCCCTTTGGATTTGCCAGAGGAAAAAAATAACGTGTAACTTGGAAATGTAATAAAACCTTCAAAAGTACGTACCACAACCTATGTCCATTGCAGGAACTCGGCTGTGTTTCTATCCATTCCACACAGTTTATGCACCTGAGTCGTCTGCTCACCTGTGTCACATCACGGCCACGAGCACAGGCTTTGGGACCACACAGCTCTGGGCGGGATCCCAATTCTGTCACCCACCAGCTCTCCACCCTGGGGCTCAGGGTCCTCACCTGTAAAGAGACGATGACACACCTCACAGGGAGGGTCCAGCACTCAGCTCGGTGCCAGGCACATAGGATGTGCTCTATAAACAGTCGCTATTTGATTGTTGTGGTTGTTATTGTTATGTGGGTCCTCAGTATATTTGAAATGAGAGCAGGGATTCTAAATTAGAGCAGGACACTATTCAAATATTGGTAGAGGTTTGGCAGTTTGGAGAGGTATAATGGGAGAGATCACACCTGAATATATGTAGAGACAAACAACAAATTAGTTAAGAAACTTGTTAAAACCTAAGACCGGCACTAAGCAGGGCGCTTCCTTGGCAAAACAGGGCAGGTGGGGAGGAGGGGGGTCCAGCTCGGCCCGCCACGTGGAAAAGGACAGGGAAGGCATGTCCGGCCACTGACAGGGTCTCGGGTCTCAAACCTCATTTAGGTCCCTGGTGGCAGCAAGTTCCCACCTGGAGAGGGGGAAGCAGCCCAGGAAATCCAGGGATCAGGCGGTCCTGAGTCTGGATCTTAGATGCCCTGTCCAGAATTACACCTGGAGCCACACAGATGCCCTGTCCAGTGGTGATGAAGCCCTGGGCTTCTCTGAGGCTCTGGACACCCCATGGGACTGGCCGCCAAGCACAGCTGGGACCACGATGTGAGCCCAGGGGTCAGCTGGGGGTCCAGGGTCCCTAAACCCACAGGTATGGGGGTTGGTGCTTAAACTCTGTAATCCTTTCCTGCCTGAGCGCCAAAGGAACCTGCACTGAGGGGTGAGCATCAGTGAAGCCAGCGGTCCCAGCTCTGAGCAGCTGGTGGAGAAAGAGTCAGGAATATGGGATGCAAGCCACATGTCCTGCCGAACTCAGATAGGTTGAATTATCCATCGTCAATGTTGGTCGACTTTTTTCCACCCAGAAGCGTCTTTGTACCAAGGTACAGTTACCTAGCCCACTGACAGGCACATACCATTAACTTGCAGATATTTTTATTTATTTATTTTTATTTTTTTAATTAAAAAAATTTTTATTTATTTATTTTGGCTGTACCTCACAGCTTGTGGGATCTTAGTTCCCCAACCAGGGATTGAACCCGGGCCCTCGGCAGTGAGAGCACAGAGTCCTAACCACTGGACCGCCAGGGCATTCCCTGCAGATATTTTATAATAACATCATCCATCATTTACATGGTGCCTTGCAGACTCCAAAGCACTTCCATAAAAACTGGGCTCACTCATTCCTTAGAATAACCTGTGAGGTAGAAAGGGAGGTGATTTTTATCACCTCAGAGAGATTTTGATGCCTGAGAGAATTTGAGAAGATGTCATACAACACTTGACTTGGGTCTTGGAAGGAGGAATAGAAGTTTGCCCAGCATAACTGAAAGGTTGCTTCTTTCGAAGGTTGCCAGCTCGTCTGCCCAGCCATTTTAATGCTGGGCTGAGAGCAGGGGCGACGTACTGCTTCCAGTAGAATATCCTTGTGGGACCAGTGCCCTGGGACTCACGTGTGACCTACAATCTCAGTTTTAATGTAACTCTTCCAAAGCAATTAAAAATACTTTACCCACAGATTGACGTTGAATTCCCTTCCCTGTACCCAATTAAAAAATAATGATAACAGTCTTATTAGATCTAAAATAAGCCCAGATTAGAAACAGCCTGTTTAAAAATCAATAAACTTTTCTTAATCCCTGCAGTGGAAAAAGAAAGAGGCTCCTCTCTGTCTTCCCTAAAAAGTCAGTATTTACACAAAGCGTTGCGTTGCCGGATTCAGAGACGCAGAGGTGCCCGAGCGTTCACCCAGCTGCCGGCACCCCCTGAATCCTGCGAGACTTATTTGGCTATAACTAATCTTGGCTCTAGGCTTGCTTACATTTTTGGGTGACCCTTTTGCCTGGAATGTTTCTCAGTGTTCTCATTAGCGCTGTCTTCCCAGCCCTGGACCTCGCTCTCCTTTTGTTGCTGTTACTGTCTGTCCTGCCATTAGTAATCTTGACTGCTCCCAGCAGCCAGGCCTGGCGTGTTCCCCATCACGCTGACACTGTTCCCGCACCAGACCCGGGCCCGACTCCTGCTCTCTAATCCTGTCCTCACAGCCAAGCACCTCTGCCGCCCTTCCTGTGTATTTACAGTTGGATTTGTTGTTGTTGTTGTCCTTTTTCTAATTATAAAATATATTTTATGCTTCTTATAGAGAACTATAAAGAAAGATATTAAGAAAACCCTCATGATCTACGCTCAGAGTCAGACACCGCTATTTTTCTAGCATAATCCTTATTTAAAATATATTTTATTCTATGTTTCATTCAGAAAGTAATACAGGGAGTTCCCTGGCAGTCTAGTGGTTAGGATTGGGCACTCTCACTGCCGTGGCCCAGGTTCAGTCCTTGGTCAGGGAACGAAGATCCTGCAAGCCGTGTGGGACAGCCAAAATAAAAACCAAGCAACAAATAATAAATTAAAAAATAAAATAAAAATATTTTATTTCATTTTTATATAAATTTAAAAATATATAAAAATAAAATAAATAAATAAATATTTTATTTTTATATAAATAAAAAATACTTTTTTTTAAAGTAATATATCTCTTGATATGATGTGATGAGAATGGCACTTAACTTTTGTGGTCTTTTCCCCCAAAATTCATAACCTCAGTCTAGTCATGAGGGTAGACTTCAGACAAACCCAAACTGAGGGACACTCTACAGAATATCTGACCGGGACTCCTCAAAACCGTCAAGATCATCAAAAACAAGGAAAGCCTAGCCTAACAGTCTAGAGGAGTCTAGGGAGACATGATCATTAAACGTAATGCGGTGTCCTGGATGGGCTCCTGGAAAAGGAAAATGACATTAGATTAAAAACTTTAAAAATCCCATAAAGGAATGGACGCTCATTAATAAAAATGGTTAATTGTGACAAATAAGTTAATAATAGAGGAAACTGGGTACTTGACATATGGGAACTCTCTGCATTATCTTTGTAGCTTTTCTGTAAATCTGAACCTATTTTCAAACTTAAAGTTTATTTTTTTCTTCCAGTTTTACTGAGATATAATTGACATTCAGCACTATAAAAGTTTAAGGTGTACAGCATAATGATTTGACTTACATATGTCATGAAATAATTATCACAGTAAGTTTAGTGAACATCCATCAACTCATATAGATACAAAAGAAAAAGAAAATGTTTTTTCCTTGTGATGAGAACTCAGGATGTACTCTCCTAACAATGTTCGTATAGAACAACTTTCATATATAACATACAGCAGGGTTAATTATATTAATCATATACTACATTACATCCCTAGTACTTATTTATCATATAGCTGGAAGTCTGTACCTTTTGATCATTTTCATCCATGTTTTGGGAAAAAAAATTCAGACAACATGGAAGTGTGTAAAACAAAAGGCAATAGCTCCCTGCTTCCATCTCCTCACCTCACGGTTGGCACCAGCCTTATTTTCTGGAAGTACTTCCTCTTTATTGCACAGTCGAGCTCACGCCGCAGTGCAGTTCTGGATCCTGGCTTTGTTGTTTAGTGTTACAGCATGAGCATTTTCCCATGTCCTTAAGAACTCTTCTTAAAGACAATTTTATAGGTTGTGTGACATTCATTGCACTGTTTTCTTGCCTAAGGTAGCTGTGATCCAGCCCTTATGTTTCCAGGAGATTTGCTTTCATTACCCATGTTTTAGAGTTTCCTCGTGCAAAGAACTGCTCCCTGCTTTCTCCAAGCAACAAGGAAGACAGCAAAATCTTCATCCAGACTCTCCTGGGACCTTCAGAAAACTTGTTTAGTCCAACATGTTTCAGCAGAGTTCGGGTTTCAAGACTTTCTTTTTCACAATCTCTTCTTTTACTTTTATTTCTCACAATTTATAATCCAATGGGGATAACCCAGGCACTGTCATGGCTGATGACTACAATGTGGACTGTTTGGGCATTAATGTACGGGATTGAAGAGCATCCCTCCCAAATTCAAACCCACCTGGAACCCCAGAACAAGACCTCATTTCAAAGCAGGGTCTTTGCAGATGCAATTCGGTAAGATGAGGTCATACTAGAATCAGGTGTGCCCTAAATCCAATCACTGTCATCCTTGTAAGAAAGCCACGTGAAGACAAAGATACACAGAGAGGAGAATGCCACGTGAGGGCGGAGACAGATTGGAGGGATGCGTCTACGAGCCAAGGAACGCCAGAGACTGCTGGCAGCCGCTGGGAGAGAGGCCTGGACAGATGCTCCCCGGAGCCCCCATGAAGGAACAAACCCTGCTGACACCTTCATTTGGGACTTCTAGTCTCCGCAAAGGTAAGAGAGTAAATTTCTGTTGTTTTAACCACCCAGGTGCTGGTGTTTGTTACGGCAGTGCTTGCAAACTAATTACAGGAAGCTGTGGCCTCAGAGGGCCACGGGTATGGGCAGAGCTCTGGCACTCGAGTGGGGGGAAGGGACAGTGGCTGTCGCTGTGAGGGGCAGTGAGGTATTTGGTGGCGGGGGGGAGAGAGAGAGAGAGCCACAGAGATCACAGGTGTCAGGCATTGAGCAAAGTTCGAATTGAAACACAGGTGTTTTGTGTCATTTCCTTTCTCCACCATCCTCCCCACCTGATGGCCATTTCTTTCTGGTCAGACAGAAAGAGGCCCACAGAAATCCCTTTCCTCCCTTATATCTGCATCCATTATTTTTCTAGAAGATGTAAGTAGCTGTCTGCCAGAATATGCCTTAAATATCAATACACAAGGCCTCCAGGTGCAAACCGTTCCATTTCAGAGCTTTGGCCACAGCGAGATAAATGACTCAGCACTTCGTTGCTTATACGTTATTTATAGTGAATTTGGTTGGACAGCACACGCACGCCTTAACCGTGATCGCCCTATGGATTCTCCACTTTTTCGAAATTGAGCTTATATTACTCTCATAAAGAAAATATTTTTATAAAACCTCCTTTAAAAGAGTGGTGTTGTATCTGCCATAAAACACTGATTGCTGATGGAGAGATTCTCCTCAGATAAGAGGCTGAGGCTCAAGGTTGGCGGGGGAAAATGTGAGCGGGATGTTGTCACCAACTTTTCAATGTGCAGACCTGGGGACCTCTCAGGGGTCCAGGGAGTGACTGTCTTTATGGGGCTAGGAGCTGCCAGGAGATCCTGAGGTGGGTGTGTGGTGAGGAATAAGTTCCTCCTGAAGGGCTGGGGTAGCGGTGGTGCTGGAGCGCAGAGTCTTGAAGGAGTTTGATGACTTTTCCTACAACTATGGGGTCAGAAGGGCAGGAGGAAATACATCTCAGTCTCTCCCTGGGCTGCTGTGAATGAAAACACGGAGGGAGAGGGAGGTTTGTGGGCAGGAGAGAAAGTTCCTGTGGTTCGCCGCAGGAAGGCGGGCCACACCTGCCGAGAGGCACCTTCGTGTCCTCTGAAGGTCCCAGCTTCATTTTACGTGTTGGTCATCAACTGCTGTGTCACTTCGAAACTGTCTTAACACAACGATGCACGTTTCTTACCTCGGAGTTAATGTGGGTAAGGACTTCAGGAGAGGAGTAGTGGTTGCTCGCCAGGCCCGGACCCAGAAGCCCCCCGCTCAGGCCTGATTCTCTCCTACACCTTCCCGACCCTCTGAGTGTCCATGGGGTGAGGTAGCTAGGGGCTATGGAGGCCCACCCGGGGCAATGCTAGCTTCAGATGCAAATCCACAGCCCTCCCAGCTCTGCAGCCTCATTGCGCTGAGCCCTTGGAAGGCTCAAGGGGCCTCCTCCCCGACCCCAAGCCCCCAGCTGTCCCCCCAGCCCCACTGCTCGCTAGGCCTCAGGGCAGAGATAGACACTTTGCTCTAGGCAGAAGTCCATCGTCCTCATTACCGGTCACTCTGAATCTTTAGAGTCGATTCTGCCAGTCTTCTGCATCAGGGGGCTGCCAGCCCGAAGTGGGGAGCCTCTCGCCGCCGTGGGGAGGGAGGTGAGGGATGTGGCCCGGTGTTGGGGCCACAGAGCCAGTGATGAGCTGAAGGCCTGGCCGAGCCGGTGGGGCAGCCTCGGACCCCAGCGAGCCCGGCCCAGGAACGGTCTGGGAGGACGCAAAAGGAGCGGGACATAGACCTGGAGGACTTATCCTGGCCTTGCTTCCCGCCCAGGTCTGAAAGCCTGGCCTCGGGAACGAGGGCCGACAGCTCCTTCCCCTCCTTTTTCTAGCAGCTGGAAGCAAGGAAAAGCACCTTTTCCGTGCACAGAGATGCACGGCCGTCAAAACAGATTGCAACACTTTGCTGGCAGAAAACTAAGGCCCCTTTCTGCTGGAACCGCCAGCTCTTTGTAGCTTAATTCACTTAACTCCTACATGAGCTCCCCCGACGCAAACAAACAACAACCAACCCACAAAAAGCAGCTCTGCACAGTCCGCTCAGGGAAGGCCACCCTCTTGCCTCCAGTACTGCTGGGCGTCCCCACGGCAACCTGGGGAGGACGCAGGTGCCCCGGTTAGACCTGCCCACTCGGGGCGGAGGATGGGAGTGGCTAGTTACCAGTTCATCAAGTATTTTAAAAATCATCTCAGACACCGGCTCTTTTGTCATCTGCAGTAGCCAGGACAAGAGTTATAAGGAAAGTGTGAGAGAATTGCTAGGAATGGGGAGAGCCTACCATGTACCATCTTCCCTTCAAGGCTTAACCTTGCCCTCCTCCCCCCACCCCTCCAGGTACAGACCCTCTCCTAAGGCCCTCCTCCTTCACCTCTCCAGTCCTGTGGTTTCCTAGACACTTTTTATCTGGGCCAGTCATTCCAATGGTTAGTCATATGTTGTGTTAGAGATCTGTAGTGGCTTACAAAAACATAAAGAAGATTTTTAAAACTCAGGTATGATATTGGCACAGAGAAAAGCACAGTCTTATCCAGTTGCTAAAAGGGGGCCAGAAAGTTTCTCTAAGTCTCTTTCCGGAGGCCGAAGTTAAAGGGCAAAGGATCATTGCAGGGACTGCACAGCGTCTTTAGGTGCAATCTAACTGGTTTTTAGGAATAGAACATATTCTCTCAACACTGAGAACGGAGAAAAATCTCCCCAGCGGGTCAAGCCAAAGACCTCGGTGTACCGTCTCATCCGAGAAAATGGCTCATCTCTTACGACAGTGGGGGGTCTTGTTTGCTTGCTTGTTTGTTTTGGCCGCGTTGGGTCTCCGCCGCTGCGCGCGGGCTTCCTCTAGTTGAGGTGAGCGGGGCTGCTCTTCGTTGTGGTGCACACAGTGTGCGGTTTTTGGTTTGGTTGTGGTTCTTTTTTTTTTTTTAAATCAAAATCACAAGTTGGCTCAAATAACTTACTCCTTTGGTAGAAATGAGAAAGGCGTTAAGTCGATGCAAATGGACGAGAAAGAATTACAGAAGGAAGCAGAGGGTGCAAGAGGCTTTTTTCTTTTTTTTTCATAAGAACAGATTGTTTTACTAAACCGTCAGCTGTTGTCCCTCCTTCCCAGTTGGGGTCTGTGACGGGGCCCTTGCTGCCGCCTTCCTGCATTTGCTCCTTAGCCCCCCGCACCATTTCCCTGGGTGTTGCTAGGTTTCTTGTCCCTGTGCTCCAGGTTAGGGGGTCCTCTGGGGTCTGACTGTCACCAGCCCCTTCCTCTCCCTCCTCTATACATAAGACCTTAGGAAAGAGTATGCTGGCCTCTGGTTCCGGAACTTCCACGCCCTTGCTTTGTCTTGCTCTCTTGTAGCAGCTGGTGCACGTTCTGCAGCTTCAATGTGCAGAAACTCCTGCTGGGCTCCAGCCAGGGTAGTCACACGCTCAAAAAGGGGGTCCAGCTGGGCCATCAGACTGTTCAGGTGTTGCTCTGTCTGGGCCAGCTGTTGTGTCAGCTGGGCCAGCTGTTGAAGAGGCATTTTTTATAAACTTAAGAGCAAGGGACAGAAACGCTAAAAAAAGAAACCTAAAATTTCCACACCAGGAGCCATGTCTAAAGTTTGCTCCATCCCCACTACAGCACCCATCACACTGAATGGTCCAGAGTAGTTCCAAAAGGTTATTTATCACAAGGTGTTAGCCCTCTAATTTGTAACTTTCAGTATTTAACAACTGCTTCATCTCTTCTTCCCTGGAGTCACAGCCTGCGCTAGGCTGCAGTGTTCCAAACGGCCAGCAGGCGTCGCCAGCTAACACGATTCTGAGCAGCCAGAAAACGCAAAGTTCATTCTCTCTGCTTGAAAACTTTCCATGGAGCCTTAATGTGGGCAGTGTAAAGTCCAAATTCCTATCCAGGACACCCCAGGCCCTTCAGATTTAATCCAATTCACTTTTTATGGCTTTAGTTCTTACCAATTCAGGCACCCATTCAATCAATCAGGAAAGGCTTATTGAACACTTGTTTTTTTATCAGGTGCTTTTCTGGGACCTGGAAATAAAAAGATAACAGAGATTTCATCTCTGCTCTGGAGAAGCTCACTGCCTACCCCACCTAGGAAAACAGTTTAGGGCTAAGCTGCTATGTTAAAGAGACATCTATCTACACTCACGTACACACACACAGTGGCTTAAAGAAAATTAAATTTATTTATTTCTCACACCAGAAACCAGAGTGGTCCAGACTGGTCAGCTGGGGATCTGGCCGCTTCCCATCTCGTTGTGCGTCATCATCCGTAGGATGTTGTCCTTAGTTGCACTGTCAAAGCTGGGTCATGACCATATCCAAGCTTCAGCCTGGGAAAGGGGAAGAGAAAAAGAGGAGGGCAGGCAATTTCCTTTTAAGCAGGAAACACAGAAGCTGCACCTACCCTTTGATTCACATTCCAGGGCAGGGACCTAGTCATGTGGCCACATCTAGCTGCAAGGAAGGCTGGGAAGTGTAGTCTTTATCTAGGCGGCAGCGTGCCCAGCTAGCAATGAGTTGCAACTACCAGTCTGGTCAGAAAGCATCTCTTTTTTTCATACAACCTAACTTTACTTTTAATGGATTCGAGAAACAATTTTTGTGTCTTCTACATTGCTGTCAATGGTAATTGCACTGTCAGGGTTTAGGGATGCCGGTTCATAGAAATTTGTGGTGACTAATAGCAATTTACTATGCACATTTCATATTTGTGAGACATATCTATTACTGCCCATCAGAGATGATAAAATCTTATCACAATGACAACTGAGTTGATAAAACTCAGTGAAATGCAACTTAGAATCCAGTTTATTTTTTACTCATGAGAATATGACATTTGAGTCGGCTTCTTGAGGCTGGCCAGGTGGGAAAGGAGGAAGAACATTCTAGAATGTGACTAGCATCTGTAGAGGCCTGTAGTCATGGCAAGGCCAGCTCTATTGGTATGTTGGTTATTAGGTGCGGGTATGTGTGTGGGGAAGGAAGACAGGAGAGAAACTGGGAAAATAGAGTAGAATAAGATTGTGCTAAGTTTCTCACTCCAAACTAAGGAACTTGGATTTTACCTGGCAGAGCAGATGCTTGGGGGGTACTTCCCAGTCTAGGAGCCAAGGTCAGGTCCCAAACTTTCTGTCGCTGTATGTGGGTGGGCTCCAGGCAGCCAGTGTACAGTACTTGACCTCACTGTCTCGTTCACGAGACAGTGAGCGGAGATAAGATGGTAAGGGTGTGTGTATGTGTGTGTGCGTGTGTGTATGTTGCTTTGTTCTTGTTGGAAAAGACTTGTGTATGTTATGGAATCAATAGGAAGGATCCAGAAGCCAGAGGTTGAGAACAGGAGAGAGAAGGGATAATGGACAGTTTTATGTTCCTCCGAAGGACTCTTGGCCAAGATTCAAGGCAGGAATGAAGGACTTTGCTTTTGTAGGAGGGACGGCATCCCTGCCATAACAAGAGAACACAGAGAAGAAAAGGCAGGCTTTCATCTGGTATTAGGAAGAAGAGGGGGCAATTGCTGTCTCAACCCTTTCTATTTCTCTGTATAGTAGGAGCAAGATCGCCTCCTGAGTGAAGAAATCTGAGGAGAGTAGAGAGGGTTCAAAACCATGCTTGTGAGAGTAAGAGAGTGAGTGGACCGGCAAAGCCTAGTAGTGGTACTCAGTAGGTCGTCAATTTATGCACGTATTCAGTCAACAAATGTTCACTGAGATCAAGCAGAATGGTAGGCAGTGTGAAATGCAGAGATGAGTAAAACACAGCAGCTGATGACAGGGCTTCCCCATACGGTTGTACAAGTTGTGCACTGCCCAAACATGCCAGTAAGGGAAGGAGCTTAAGCTGAAATCCAGTTGATGCTTCGCTAGGCACGTCCCACAGCAAATGGGCTACATGTGCCCAGAGGGAGTGCCTTTATCAGTGAACTCAAAGGGCTAACGTGAAAGTTTGAGGCCCTGGTTAAGGGCTAGCTGCTTTAGGTCATGGGAGAGAAGAATGCACTGTAATTAAGAGAAGGCTCTGAGGGCACAGAGGGAAGAGTGACATGAACCAACCAATGGAGAGTGAGCAGGTCCTTGAGGGGATGAGACCAAAATCCTCTCATGTAAAGTGAGTTTGGACATTCTCCTCTGACTCGAGAGCCCTGGGGCCACCAGAGAGCAAGCAGGGGGAGCGGGCAGAGTGGAAGGGAAGGGGAGTCATGGACAGAGATGAGGAAGCTCATTTCACCATTTCGTCCTGTTTGGCTCTGAAGATATTTCTACTGCATACATGCTCTCTCCCCATCAGGGACACCTAGTCAGGGCTGGACAGGTGACTCCACAGAGGAAGGGGGCACCAGGCCCCCCAAGTGTAGCTAAGCCTGGAGTGTTCGTATGCTAATTAGCGGCAGCCTTTCTCATCAGCTAGTGGCGACGGGCCACCAAGGTGGGGTTGCTGGTGGGGCAGCTCTGCTCGGCAGAGAGTTTCTTTTCACATTTAGGTTGTGTTGGTGAGGACAGGTTTGCCCCATGTTGCTTCTCACTCTGGAGGCTTCCTTTCGTTTCTGGATCCAGGGATTCTGCTCACATATTGAGTCCAGAACCCAAAATGCCCTTGCTAGGCCTCTAGCAAGCTGTGTTTTAGATATTTATAAATGATTAATAACATTACATATAGTCACTTCATGGAGTAAAACCCCCTCACATTTGTTATCCAGTTTGAGATGGGAGACGACTCGGTGAGTTGTGAATGAGCCATGTCTCGGGGAAGGTGGCTGGCTCGGCTGAGGTCACAGGCACGGCTAGTTAACTGGCAGAGCTAGGATGCAAATCCCCGTCTGCCTGATTTCAGAATAACTGCTCTTCTTTTACCCAGAGAAAGGGAATAGTAACACCTGCTTTATAGTTGTGAGAATTAAATGAGAAAATCAACACAAGGTGTCCAGCAGAACTCCCTGTGCATAATTCTACATTTTCACTCCCAGAAAGTCTTCTCTCTGTAGCCATAGTTACCTCTTCTCTCTTTAACCAACAGTGACCAACCACTGCTACACCACAATATAGAGAACACAGGGTGGCTGGTCCTGGGCCGCAGACAGCCTGTGTGCCGCCCTGTGTTATCACATGGTGCCTGCCTGCTGTTTGGTGCTCAGAGGTGGCCTCCGCAGGCCACCATGCGCCTCTTCTGTCTCCTTTCCCAGTAGAAACACAAAAGCTGCGTGAATGCGGAACAGCATTGTGGTCGTGGTGGGGATAGGGTGGGGTTCCAAGGCCGTCATCAATTATTGTCAAAAACCACTTCAACGTTGCATTTTAACATGGTGCTTACCGGGCACAGTGCCAGAGACAAAAGTCTAGGACAGGCAATGGGAATAAGTAAAGGATGGGAGGGGCATCTCCCGCTATCTCTAACCCACCAGCTATAGGAAGTCCTTCTAGACACAATGGTTCTCAACCTCACCGGATACAACTCCCCCTTTTTATAATGAATACACTATATTCTTATCATGAAATAAAGATGTAAACCACTCTAACTTGCCTTTGATGGAGTATTGATGGGCGAGGACACAAGGGAGACTTCTGGGTTGTTGGAAATATTTTATATATTGATTTGGGTGGTAGTTACATTACTGTATTCATATATAAACATTCACTGAACAAGGGATCTCTCTGTATTATTTTTTACAAATTTATATGAATCTATAATTATCTCTATTAAAATTTAAATTAAAAGCGAGATCCAGGTAAAGTTTTAAATGTGTATTTTGCCATAATTTTTAAAAAACGAGGTGCATTTCACACCCATCAGATTGGCAGAAATGGAGTTTAATAATATTCATTTCATCAAGGATGTGGAGAAAAGGGAAATTCTTCAGTGCTGCTAGGGGCATAAATTAGTACAATGGCTGTGGAGGACAGTTCAGTGTTACCTGCTAAGACTGGCAATGTAGATGCCCTGGGAGCCAGCAGTTCTACTCTCACACATGAATAAGAATATATGTACGAGACATTCTTTGAGGTATTGTTAGTACTGGTACAATATTGAAAACAAAGTGTTCATCTGTTTTTTTCTTTTATTTAAAAATAAAGGGAGGGACTTCCCTGGTGGTCCAGTGGCTAAGACTCTGAGCTCCCAATGCAGGGGGCCTGGGTTCGACCCCTGGTCCAGGAACTAGATCCCACATGCCACAACTAAGAGTTTGCATGCCACAACTAAAGAGCCCACGTGCTGCAACGAAGATCCCGCATGCCGCAACTAAGACTCGGCACAGCCAAATAAATAAATAAATATTTTAAAAATAAATAAAGGGAATTCCCTGGCAGTCCAGTGGTTAGGATTTGGCGTTTTCACTGCTGTGGGCCCAGGTTCAATCCCTGGTCAGGGAACCAAGATCTTGCAAGCTATGCAGTGTGGCCAAAAATAAATAAATGAATGAATAAATAACTAAAATTTTAAAAATAAAAAATACTGTGCAAAAGTCAACATGGAACAGGAAACATGGATGGAAGTGTTGAATTTGTTTCCGTGGTTTGAGAGACTGTGCAGTGCCCAACAGACACACACATACCATTAGCAAGTAATTGTGGTTATTTAAGAATAAAATCAAAATATTATTTTTTCTTTAAAAAAAATCACATTTCCATGTTGCCTGTCAAAACTGTAGCAGACAGATGATGTACTAGGCCATTAACACATTTCTGTCTATTAAAAAACCTCTAGAGAAGCAAGCAGATGAGCCTTGGAGTTAGCTCAGTGATGGGGGTCAGTGCTTTGCTAATAATAAACACTGTTCTCAGAACTCTTAAAGACACTTAGGAAGGCCCAGCCCTGAGGAGCCAGGGGTGACTGTTGAAAAATACCAATGCAACACTCAAGACTCAGGAAGTTAAGAGGTGATGTGGCACTGGCACAATTGTGGAACCAGGAATTGAACCCATCAATGCAGCAATGTGGTAGCCATCCCCCAGGAATCCTAGTCCCCTGGTATTCATGCCCTTATGTGGTCCCCTCCCACAGTGAATCACAGCTGGTCCTGTGGGGCCAGTGCAATATGGTGAAAATGACATCATGTGGCTTTCAAGGCTAGATCATAAATGGTATCGCAGATTCCACTTTGGTCTCCTGGATCTCTGGGAGATCCATCCACCATGTTGTGAGGATGCTCAAGCAGCCCCATGGAGAGGTCCATAGAGAGAAGAACTGGGGCTCCCAGCTGCCAGTCAGCACCATCTTAGCTCAATGTATGAGCCACAGTGAAAGTGAATCCTCTCACCAAACTGTATACATTATGTTCAGTGTTTTGTATACCAATTATACCTCAACAAAGCTGAATAGGAAGGAAAGAAGGAAGGAA